ATGTGTACGACAATCATATCAAAAAGCCTGGCGTATGTTATATGTTAGGGTTAAAGACTGATCTCATACAAATATACACATACAGTTCAGATACTGATCTCGCACACACACAGTATACTGCCTTTCAAGGGTTTCAAAGCACTTCAGATCAAGAAACCTTTGTGTGTACACGAACACTGGGTCTTGTCCAAGGACACACGGCAGCATTCACCAATGGGAATTACGGTTTCACCCTTGCCTACCTGCGGGTCAGTCAATCTGACCGCTCAACCCATTACACATGCTCCACCAACTGAGACGCAGCCTGCATGCGTCTGGTGTTTGTGAGAATGGTTGGTGGTGGTCAGAATGGAGCCACAGCTTTGTGAGTCTGTCTATGAAAAGCACTATTAAAGGAGACACACATGCACTATACTTTGCTGGGGGAGAAGCTACTTGAAATACTGTAATGATAAGTCACAAATGGATTCATCACAGCCTCAGAGAGTGATATATACAATCAGTAAGGTTAAACCGGGAAGTGGCATGTCATAAATACATAGAGAAAATAGATTAAAGCATAAAAGTAGTGGAGGAGCAGGAGATAGGTGCTGATGGGGTCAGACCTCTGCGTATTCCTGAAGACCCTGTCCACCAGGTTAAGTGCCGTCAGTCCTGAGATGGATCCTGTCGTCAAGGAGACACACCTCCTCGAGCAACATGAGGACTTGCACAAATGAAACTGTGACGTAAGTGGCCGTGATGTGAGTGATGGGGCTCGAGAAGCAGCAAGATGCCCAAATGAAAACTGGCAATGAACTGAGGCTATAAGAAATTAATGTTTGCACATGAATTTAGTCTAAAACCAGGTTATAAAGGGAGTCAAAAGACTTTTTTTTCAAATGCCAAAACACTGGCACTAGAATATACCATATTTTAAACTTACTTCTTTATTACGCTAACTTTGGAGATTTTACTTCTTATTGTGCTAAAGTCAGAGATTTCATTTTATTTTATTTTAGTATAGAGATATTGTTTTTCTTGCGTTGTGTGCTGCACATTCCTACTTTTCTGTAACCGAAAGATGCAAACCTGAAATTTCCCCGCTGTGGGACGAATAAAGGATATTGACATCGCACAAAATATATAAGTGCATTCTCCATTCAGTCTAGTTCTGGTTCCATTTAATCCTCAGGTTTGTGCACTCCACATATTGTAGATATATTTATCATGAGTTGATTTTACTGTTTATTTTTGTCCCAACAAACATTTAACTGTGATTCATATGCTCACTGTTCTCTAGAAACAACTGTCCAAGATTCCTCTTCTAGCGACATCCATCAAATGAATGATGAAATTACCTGTTTAGGCAGTAATATTGCCAAGTGTCCTGCCTGCGTGTCTCCCCCATAGTGACAAAGACAACCGCACTCTCGCCTCTCTCTCCTCCCATTGGATGCTAAGCTCTGTACTGATGCCCCACCATTGGCCGTGCCTAGCATGCACTCTCCGCCAATGGAGTGGGCTGTATCCAAGAGACTGGAGCATGTAAGGCTATTTAAATCCAACCAGAGGCACACAGGACTGCTTTGATGTATGGTCTATTGTAGGGAAAAAATGCTGAAAAGGTTTCTGAATGGCTGAGAGAGGAAAGGCTGAAATCTTATTGGTAGATGGGTTTCTGTTGTCAAGTTAAAGAAAGTAATTCAATCCGTGAGCAGAATGACTCCTACTGTGTCATCAGTTTTCCAGCATGCCATGGCCTGACCTGGACTAGTGTTTGGAATGGTCAAGGTGAGGTTTCAATCCAATAACCAACATAACAGATCCAACTCAAAGTTAAATAAAAAACTGCAAGGGAGGTTTATGCTGCAATTGGCATGTTTAAGATGAAGATTAGGATTAATAGATCTTTTATTTGTCCCACAGTTGGGACATTTCAATGTTGCATTACAAGTTACAAACCAGGTATAACTGTCTATGGGAGGAGCACACAACACAAAATACTCTGAGTGTGTTGCTCTAAATATATAATCTAATCTCTGATCACAATCTGATCTGAGACACAAATCTAAACAATATGCCACTTTCTTTGTGAATACATTTTCTCCAAACTCCAGAGAATATTTTGCTTCTGGTCAGGAATAGTAGCAGTAGCCAACTGAAGAAGTACAGTAGATATCAAACTCAATTGCAGGTGCTCTTAAGAGGTTATGGATACATGATGAGGGTAAAATGATACATGATGAGGGAAAGGATGGAGGATATCTCCAATTAAACTTTAATTAGCCTACATAGCTTAGTTCTTAGTATCGCTAAAACTGTACATTTAGGTTGTATGACTTCTTCCAAATTCACAAAATACGCCTCCTTTCTTCTCCTAGTTCTCCTTTTTATTGATTATTTTAAGATGAAATTTGAAATGATCTACATTTGATAATACTTAAAAGTTGTTATAATTGGTTTGCTCAAACTTGGAACTAAATAGTTTCATAAAAGGCCATTTTTAATATCAAGGAAGGGGTAATTCGTATGAATTCGGGTGCAGCCTTCACTCCTCCGCTGCTCGTCCACGTGAAGCAGCAGCAGAGGCTTGGAAACTTAGCTTGTTAGTTTGTTACTGTTTCACTTCATTAACATCAGCATTGCGACCTGGCACAAAGCTAAAGACAGTCCTCCTTCTGCACAACAAAACAACGCGCTGTGTAAGTGTAAGCTTGCTATTTTTTGCATTATTCACGAGTGTTCATGTTAGCTATGTGGCCACGCATCTTTGATAATGCAGCTAGATTTATTCGCTTTTAGTGTCATATTATTTACACTCTAGTACTGATGAGCTGTAGAAGACTTTGTTGTTTATTTTTTATTTGGTGAAACTTCATAATTTGTCGAGTTTTTTGTTTGTTTGTGTCATTCCTTCCTTCAGCGTTCTTTCGTTGCCATGGAGACGTATCGTGAACGCGCACTTGTGGAAACAGAAGCGGCTTGAATTTTAAAATGCTCACACCACGTTTTTAGAGATAATTTTAGGGTAAGATAGAGAATGCAAAACCGCAATATCTGAGAGGTTTTGGTTATACTACACATGTACTTCATACATAATCCATTTATATATAACCTAGTTGTTCTTATCTCTTTTGCATTCAATTACTGAAGGGGTCAGGCTGGTTATTAATTTAGTTTGAGAGCCTTGTAAAAGAAAAACTATTATCTGAAACAAAAATGTTCACCTCGTATCATTTAGTGTATTTTATGTTTCAACTTGTGCAAACTTGTTGAGTCAGTTTATGGCACTTTTGGCTCAGAGCTGATTGACTGAGCAAGGATCTCTACTTCACTTGGCTATTCGAAACAGTCGATCTAACACTGTGAAACATAAATGTGATAATACTAGTGATTATCACAGAGCTAGGAACCTGTTAAGATAAGATAAGATAAGATATTCCTTTATTCGTCTCACAGTGGAGAAATTTCAGTGTCAACAGTGCACACATTACAGCAGTGAAAAAAAGGAAATAAGAGCACTCAGATTGCACACATCAAATTGAGCCTATTATTTAAGATAATAGACTATATAATTAAAATAAGAATAAAATAAAATAAAATAAACTCTGGGGTTATAATTGCACTTGGTTCAGAAATATTTACAGATGTGTATATTGTACTTAGCAGCGGAGAATATGAGAATATGAATATGAGCAGAATAAGTATCAGAAATAATATCATCAGGTAAAGTGACTGGTGAATGGCAGAAATATCAGATGAATATGTAATAATGCCGTAATAATAATAACAGGTAAAGTGACTAGTGACAAAGTTACTAGTGAATTATCAGTGACACTTGTAGACTCAGCAGTTCTTGTTACACATTCTCGTTGTACAGCCTGACAGAAGCAGGGAGGAAGGACCTGCGGACCTTATATCACTTAAAATACAATATTTACAGTATATGTTGGTAACCCATATATTTTGATCAGCAAACAGTTGAAGGGGCAACAGTGGCTTAGTTGGTTGTCTTCGGATCAAATGTTTGTGGGTTTGATCCTTCCACAAGACATGTCACCTTCTCTCACTGTTGTCTGCAGTCGTGTCCCTGGGCGAGACACTTAAAGCTCACTTTGTCTGAAGACCCAGCTAAAAGACTTATGACTGACAGAGCAGCCATCTTCCTGGACTGACCACTTGCAGGAGGATCAGTGAGGGGCTAGTGCTATCAGAATGCCACGCCCCTGACCCAGACTAATAACGGGGATGAAATGTAATGAATGAATGAAATACGGTTTAAGTAGACTCTTGCTCCTGCTTTTGCTGCTTCTGACAAAGGTTCGAGTGGCATTGAGAGATGGGTCAAATGCAGAGGACAAAACTCCCTATGGAGACAATAAAGTGTAAGGCAAGGCAAGTTTATTTGTATTGCACAGGGCTACTCAAAGTGCTTAACAAAACAAGAAAAGGAACACAGTACATTGAAAGAGTTGTATGTAAACAGATCAGGTGTCTCCAACCTTTTCCACCAAGAGAGCTACTTTCCTAGGACGATAAAGTTAGAGAACTACTTCTTTAAGCAGCCCTGGGAAAAATTTTGTTATATATTGGTGTGAACAAGCCTGATATTGGGTACATTTGTAATTTATCATTGCATATTTTTAACTAGTGACAAAGTTAGTGCATTTACAATAACAAATCATGATAACGAATAATACAATCTGAAATATTAAGTATATTATTTGATGTGTTCCTTTCTCAATCCTTTGGCAAGCTACCTGGAAGGGGGTGGCGAGCTACAGGTTGGAGATCCCTGACACAGATAAACAGAACAGTTTTATCCTGAAGTGGAACATTGTTATAGTAGAAGCTTGTCTCACATTTTCAGGAAGACTGTTCCAGATTTTAGTGGCTTATATCTGAAATCCTGTCTCACCATCTTTAGTCCTGAACTAACCTTTGTAACGGTATTATGTAATGTAATCCCTAAACATTTGACTTTCCAGGCTACATTTGCACCTGTGACATGGGCCTAAATGGCTTCAGCTGAGGGGAAGCCAGCGGTCTGCAGTTCGTTCTTCCCAAGGAGAAACTCTCTGTTAAAAACCAGTGCAGAGATCGTGAGTGAGGTCCGGCAGTCCCTGAGAGTCCAGTCCACCCAGCGCCCTGTCACCCCCAGAGATGCCCACAGACAGCTGTTTGGGAAGCTCTCATCGCGGGCCAAAGCCGACAGACCTCCCTCCGCTTTCAGGTTACACGCTGTCTTCATAGACATCGAGAGCATTTATGTCACGGAAGTCATAAAATAATCTCTTTTCTTTTTCAAAGTCTTCATGCACAGAACTTTGACTCCCCTCCTGGCTCCAGGCCGGGCTCAGGGACTCGCCTCTCTCCACTTAATCATGTAAATATTAATAATGCTTTTTTAAAAACCTTTTTCAGGAATTACTAATGTGTAATGGTTAGGTGTATGAGATGTTGTTCTGCATTTGAAAGTCTCAATATAATAAATAGATAGATAAGTAGACTTTGCAACTTGATGGTAAGAAATTAATCTAACTTTATCAATTGAACTCAAAACGGACCAAGTCTGAACAAACAAGTAAATATGTGTCCACTACTAGTCACATCTTTTGAAACCATAGACTGTATAGATGGACAATGCTAACCCGCTAGCTCAATAAAGACTAGAAGTGTTTCACATTTTTGCTCCAACGCTCTGGTTCCTATTGACATACATTGAAAAGTAAACTCATCTAGCACAGTAAAGTTTGTGTCACACTCACCATTTAGGCTTTATATTTTTTGTATGGGAACAAATGTCCATATAAGGAAATTCACGTTCAAATCGGCCTAGGCCAGTCCACTCCATAATATATTTGAAACAGATCTGTGAAGCATTTTTTAACCAGATTTTGTCCTGTTAAATTAAACCGGAATAACAAGTGTGAAGAAAACTTTTTACATTCCTAATCCTGTGTGTGATCCTTGCCCAAAATGCTTTTCACCGCTGGGTTAATAACTTACATGGTCTTACGTTTGTGCTGTAGAAGCCAGCGTTCCCAGCGTTGCGTGATGGCGGAGATCCAGTCCACGTCTTACCCAAACCCCCTGCTGATCCACTGGAGGCGAGGAGGCCCCTGATAGGACCACGGGCCCGACTGCGACGCGCTGGCTCTCTCCCTATCATGCCTCCTGCTGTGACAGACGGTAAAGATGGACCCACAATTTGTGTTGTCGACATGCATGGTTATGAGAGCAAATAGGATCAAAATGTGTGACACCAAATGTAGGGTAATTACTCCAATATTAAAAGATACTTTTTACTCACTTTCTTAAAATAACAAGGCAGTGTAATCTCTCTTTTGTCCGGGAGAAATTTGTAGCAGATTTACTTTTTTAAATTTCAGAACGTCCTCTGAATTTCACTTTATCTACTTTACTTATTCTGCCCATTTTGCGCTGACATGTCTTTATATTCATCTATACTGATTGCTTTTATTAAGAAGCAGTCAGAGCTACTTATCTCTGAATATTTGGCGTGATTCCCGTGTGTTCTTCTGTCCTGTATGTGTGCTGCAACACCAACATTACCCCACTGGGACAAATAAAGGTTCTCTTACATTAAAATGTAAAACTAATATATGATAAAGACTTATTGATTTCAAAGCCTTTGTTTATTATGATTTGGATGATTATGGCTCGCGGTGAGTGACGGACGCGTCAGTGCCCGTCACTCACCAAAACGTCCTCTCAAATGCTTTAAAATGATGTACAGGATCTTGTGCCATTGAAACCTATATTGTTGTAGCTTGACACACCTATTTATTCTTTCTTCTTTGCTTTGAATCAGTTGCCAGTCCGATGTACGCTAGGCTTTATGGGCCTTACCACGTGAACTCCATACACCACAAGGTGCTGTGCGGGCCGCTCGACACCGCTTGCGGTTTTAATTTTGTTTCTTATTAACCTGTCTGTTAGTAAAGCGTCTTTTAGTGTCCAAAAAAGCGCCATATAAGTTCAAGTAATTTCAAGTTATTTAATGTTTTCAAAGTCACCTTGCTTCTATCATTCATTTGCTACTTTGTATGATCTCTTTGATGATTAGTTCACCCTGAGCTGCTGCGCCAGAGCCAGATTCTAAAAGACAAAATGAATGGATTCTTTCACATGCTGACATTTTGCCTGATTTACATTCACTGTGTTCGTCTGTGTGACGAAATACTGCTGCTCTGCTCTGCACTCTCCACTATATTTTAAGACTGATTTTTGAGGACATTCAAGCTGGGGACGGAGATGGACAAAAGTGTTTATGACTCTATTGTCATAAGCTGTTCCATACATGCAACGCAAGTGTATTTTTATTGCACAATTCATACATAGGGCAACTCCAAATGCTGTACAAAACATGGAAGCATTCAATTTATACAGGTAAAATCATATTTGTCAGTTAACCCTAACCCACCCTCCTGGACGCCTCTGGGGAATTGTTCCGGGCATGTCCCACCAGGAGGAGAACCAGGACACCTTAGTAAGTAGTAAGTATTTTAATATAGTGCATTTTACAGACCATGGTGATGTTGGAAGCGAGATGCCAAACACACTGGCGCATCAAAGCCCCCTACCAACACCATCCATTCACTCACCCATTACATTCAAACCTATAGTATAGTATGTTTTTAGTGTTAGGGGAAACCGGATCTTCTTCGAATCGAACTTCTTGCTGTGAAACACAACCTCTAACCGCTGCGCCACCACGTTGGAGAAACTATTTCTTTTTGCTGGCCTGGGAACGCCTCAGGATTTCCCTTGATGAGCTTGAGGAAGGATAAAGCAAAAGAAATAGGATGCAAAATCATATATAATCATTAATTTAGAATGTATCATTTTAAAAGAAAAACAGATTCAATCCTTCAGTGGTTGCATGGCTAAACTGTTTTTACTTTGCATTTGTCAGAGTAGAAGCTCGTCTCACGTTTTCAGGAAGACTGTTCCAAATAGTGATGAGTGAATCTGAAATGCTGACTCCCCTAGTTTATGTTTGCTCATCTACCTCAAGCATGACAAAATATCTTTACCACAATAGTGTAATTTTCAAGAGTATAAGATAATAGAGAGTCACCCATAGAGAATGGGTGAGGACTGTTGCCATAGTGATTTTAAACATACTATCTTATGAATGGGAGAAGATACACAGGAAGAAAAAAAATCCATGAATACACTGATCCTTTTCTTTATAATTACACATTACATTTGTTTTATAGGCAGCGGAAGGCCGGATCACAGACCAGAACAAAGGCAGTTTTCTGCAAAACCGCGCCTTGTCCCTGACCACGCTGAGGTCCACAGTAGTCCCCTCAGACCTGCCCCAAATACAGCACAAAATGAAAGGTAAGCTTCACTTTCACCCTCCCCATCTCATCTCTAATATCTCCTGCTGGAGCGTCTTATTAATGTTATTATTTTTTTAATATGGACATAACTAAGAATATTATGGATAAAGCAGAAGTATCGCGACAAGTGCTAATATTCAACTAATGTCAACAGCAGGCAATAAAATATTAATGCAAGGCCAAAACAGACACATTATGTAAGGGATAACGTATAGTACGCAGGTCATTATTGTAAAATAAGTACCGACAGGGCGAAGCGGACCCCGACGCGCCCTGAAGGTACTTATTTTACAATAATGACCTGCGTACTATACGTTATCCCGCTTATTACACGGCTTTATACCAACAGAACACACAACATAAACTTCAGTCCACTTTTAGGAATGTGGAAAGGTTTATTTAAAATAAGAAAGAAAATAAAATAGTTCCCAATGGCTTTCCCGTGGCTATGCTAGCAACAGTTAGGCTATCAACTTCCAAACTAGAACTCCCTGGAACTGCATGAAAACTGAACAAAGAATTCTGAACATCAGCGGTGAGTGACCCATACATACACCTAACCTAAATCCATAATTCGATCCTCTGCAAATGTGTCCTAAAATGTGCCTGTATCTACTTCCGGGTTTTTCGGGATCACCTTTTCTCGCATTATATCAGTGTTTTTGTCATGAAAACGTAAACGGAAAATTCTGAAAACTTCCGTGTAAGTAAGTAAGTAAGTAAGTTTTTATTTATATACCGCCTTTTCACTGCAGATCTGAGTCTCAAAGCGGTTTACAATTGTTAATTTTGGGCATTTGTCTCTCACTCCACACAGAGATGGGAGCGGGGTCGCCAGTACAGGAGGCACATGCCAGAACTATTGGACATATTTTTAGTGGTAGGGGAAACCGGAGTACCCGGAGGAAACCTACGCAGACACGGGAAGAACATGCAAACTCCACTCAGAAAGGCCCTGGCCGATTCGAACCCAGGACCTTCTTGCTGAGAGGCGAGAGTGCTATCCACTCAGCCACCGTGCACTTGTATTAAGACTGTATATGTATAATTCACTCTCCGATAAACATTTAATTGTGTTGATTGATTGGCATTTGCGTTTAATGAGCGTGGCTAGCTCCGGAGTGCCTGGAACTACTTCCGGGTTTTTCATGATCGCTTTTTTACGCAGATACATAGTATTTTTGTCATGAAGACATGAAGGCAGTAAATCCTGAAAATCTCTGTGCACGTGTGTGAAGAATGCATATGTATAAGTATTCTCCGATTAACATTTAAGTGTGTTGATTTATTGGTATTTGCGTTTATTGAGCGTGGCTAGCTCCGGAGTGGCCGGAACTACTTCCGGATTTATCATGATGCTTTTTGACGCAGATACATAGTATTTTTGTCATGAAGACAAGAGCAGTAAATTCTGAAAATCTCCGTGCACGTGTGTGAAGAATGTATATGTATAAGTATTCTCCTTGTGTTGATTGATTGGTATTTGCGTTGATTGAGCGTGGCTAACTCCGGAGTGGCCGGAACTACTTGCGGAGTTATCCACGCATTTGAAATACTGTTTGTTACCTCTTAACCTCTTATTGTTTTGAGAGGTCTGTTATAAAAAATAATGACCAGAAGAACGTTTTGAAATTACATTCAAATCAATGGAGTGTTCTACTGCTGCTGTGAGGAGCCGTGTAATAAGTAAGGGATAACGTATATTACGCAGGTCATTATCGGAAAATAAGTACCGACAGGGCGAAGCGGACCTCGACGCGCAGCGGAGGGGTCTGCTTCCGCAGGCTAACCTTTAGGCTGAATTTTTAATGTACTGTGATTATTTATGATTTCATTTTCTTCAGCCCTTTGAGTTGCCTTGTGTATGAACTGACCTTGTTGGCTGTGAACAGTGGGAGGAATTATCTCATGCTTTGTCTTTTGTTGTTTCTGCCTTATACTCCTTTTTACAGATTAATAGTGTCAGTAACATGCACCTTATGGTCTCCTCACTGAGTGCACACAGGGCAAGTGCGCCCTCTGCTGGCGGCAACTAACATGACACCAGATAATAAACTGCATATAACACTTGAACAGGACGATAATGGGACTGCTACTATGTCTGCTTGTTGTGACTCTATGATGTCTGCTTGTTGTGACTCTATGATGTCTGCTTGTTGTGACTCTATGATGTCTGCTTGTTCTGACTCTATGATGTCTGCTTGTTCTGACTATGATGTCTGCTTGTTCTGACTATGATGTCTGCTTGTTGTGACTCTATGATGTCTGCTTGTTGTGACTCTATGATGTCTGCTTGTTGTGACTCTATGATGTCTGCTTGTTGTGACTCTTGTGTGTGTGTGTGTCTTACTCAGGGTCCTGTGGTTCCTCCTTTATGTCCCTGAGCTCAGAGTCTTCCTCCAGTTTCACTTCTGCCATGTTCCACTGGGTTAGCTCCCGTAGCTCCCGTTAGCTCCTGTTAGCTTCCGTTAGCTTCCGTTAGCTCCTGTTAGCCTGTTGTGATAATGCCGTCTCTTTTTAGCTTTATTAGCTCTCAGCCCCCTCCTGTTAGCGCTCTCCTGTTAGCTCCTTTAGCTTATTGTTCGCAGCGTTTTAAGGGCAGGATAATCGTGCAACACGAACCATTCATCGAGGAAAACAAACAACTCTTCAGTACCTTTAACCGGCTCGAACACACGCATCAAGCAGCACCGTCATTTATTGAGTAAAACACAATGCACTTCCGGTTCGACCCTTCAGTCTAAAGGCGCGTTCAGACCAAAAGCTTCAACAAGCTTTTGACGCGCTTCAACTGACGCCGGGATAGTTTTGTCATTTTGGTGCTTGAAGCTTTTGACGCGAGTGACGCGCCTGACGCCGGTGGGAGGAGCTTCTCTGTTGTCTGTGGGAGGAGCTTCTCTGTTGTCTGTAGTCAGGACAGCGGTGGATTTTTCAATGAGCAGCGAGCCTTTATTTGGTATATTAAGCAAAATAACGTTGTTGTAGGGCTTCAACAAAACATGTTCTGGGTTCACCACAGACTTGAGAGGCTGCAGTGTTTGCTAGTGATGGGTTGATGAAGCTTCATGAAGTGTTGAACCTTTTCATCCATTGGTTCGAGAAAAGGTTCATTTCTTGATGCTTCATATGCTCACAAACCTCCTGTTATGGTTAATAAGTTACATATTGCAAGTTGTGTCATTTTATAGTGCCCTCTAGTGGCGCGCGCTATGTGTGCAATGTGACAGTTGAGAACGTTACACTGTCCTGTATGGCAGAAGAGCAGCCCTCCCAAGTGTCGTTTGGCCCACTTAAGGCTGTAAGTTTGGGTTGTGAAGATTGTCATATCTATATGTTATTATTCTGTATGTACTGAGATCAACCGTAATTCGTTTCTTGTGAGAAATATGAGTTTTGAGTGTCACTGAAAAAACGTTAGCATTCGTTAGCATTATGCTAGCGGACTTTTCTTATGCTAATTGAGCTATTGAGTAATACTGTAATATTTTATGGTCATTTCAACTCTGTAATGTTATTAGACAGTAACTACTGTTAGTTCAGACAAAGAAGACACTGTAATTCACTGATTCTAATTGCTGTATTTTTGTGTGTTACAGTTTTACAGTAAATGAGTAAAACAAACTCATATGTTTGCTGTCTGTCTTAGCTAAATAGCTCACAACATTTAGTGAGGACAGAACAGTAAAAAGCCTTAAAATCAGCAATCGACGCCAGAAGCGGTAAACTTCAGCCAGCCAGTCATCATGTGGCAGCCAGTGGACGCTCAATCCCAAAGTCAGCAAAAGAGCCATACACCAGACACTCAAGAAGAGCAATGGGTAACAAGGTCTCGTTGCTCAGAATCCTCAAGGTCTGCGAGGTCGTCAGCAAGCGTTGCAGCACTCAAAGCGCGAGCCAAAGCTGGGGCTGCACAAGCGCAGTTGGCCTATGCAGAAGAGGAAGCTGAAGCGATGAAGCAACAGGCTCAAATCCAAGCTCAACTACACATACTAAAGGTAAAGAAAGAAGCAGCATATGCAGCGGCTGAAGCAGACATTTTAGAGGCAGCCACTAAATATGAACAAATCCAACCACTCTATCAAGATCATTCATCCAACAACTCCGTAGACACCAGGCAAAAGGTTCAAAACTACATAGACAATCACATTTTCCTGCCAGACAACCAAATGTTGTCACGACCTCCCATCTCAAGCACAAACCCCTGCTGCCAAGTTGAAACCAACGCCAGCCCTCAGCCAATTCTTCATGAAGCTATTAATGTTAACCTAAAAACCCAGCAACAACAAAGTCCGTTCAATTACAATTACATATCAACATCTAATCCTCCCACTTCATTTCCAGCAGCAAACTACCAGTACCAGCCCTTCATTTCTTCTCACTCCAACGCCCAGCAGACATCCGATGTAAGTGAGGTAGCTAAATATCTTATGAGGCGTGAACTTGTGACAGGCACTATGCAGAAATACAATGACAACCCACAAAACTATCGTGGCTGGAAATCCTCATTCCTAAACATCACTAAAGACTTATCCCTCTCACCCAAAGAAGAATTAGATTTACTTCTGAAATGGCTCGGACCCAAGTCTTCTGAACAAGCAAGGAGAATCAGTGCAGCACAAATCAACAACATCACCGCAGCTCTCAAAATGGTTTGGCAACGCCTTGAGGAAACCTATGGCACACCTGAGGTAATCGAACACGCCCTCTTTAAGAAAATCGAGGACTTTCCTAGTGTTACCTCTAGAGACAATACTAAACTAAGAGAGCTAGGGGATATCTTACTTGAGCTTGAACTAGCAAAAGCAGAGGGTTATTCTCCTGGTTTAGCCTATCTAGATACTGCACGGGGTGTTAATCCTATAGTAGAAAAGCTGCCGTATTCCCTAAAAGAAAAGTGGATCTCACGTGCATCTAAATACAAGGTAGATCATAATGTCACATTCCCACCTTTTTCTACTTTTTCAAGATTTGTGCAAGAGCAAGCACGCATCAGAAATG